AAAAAAAAAGTAAAAAAAAAAAAGCTATTAATATTATTATTATAAAAATTATTTTTTAAGTAATTTTTTTTATACCCCCCTTTATTTTTTTTTTTAATTTAGCAGGGCGCTTACAAGCATATTTTATATTTTTTACCTTTTTTTTAGTAAGGTATATATAGCGTTAACTACTTTAAAAGTAGTTTTTTAGTTTTTATTTTTTTTTATATATAATAAGCTATAATTAAATACCCTAAACTATAATAAACTTTACTTTTTTATAATTAAATTTAAACTAGCTTTAATAGCTTTTAAACTAGTTTTATTTTTAGGTATAGGCCTATTAAAAACTAGTTATTTTTAAAAAAAGTAAAAAGGTAACTATTATTTTTTTAAATTTAAAGTACTTTTAATTAGGGCTAAACTAGTTTAGTTTAGGGTTATAAAAAAAATTAATAAAAATAAAATTTAAATTAAGTATATAATTTATTATACAAGATACCCCTAAACTATTAGGCTTAATTACTTTAAAAGTACTTTTAATATTACTAAGTGGCTAAAAATTTTTAAAAAATTTATTTACTTATTTTTAATTAAAAACTTATTTTTAAATTTTTATTACTATATTATACTTGCTAGGCTAAAAAATATATTTTAAGCTTATTTATTTTTTACTTATTTTATATATTTTACCTAATAAAAGTAATTTATTAGCAGCCTAAAGTAGTTTATTTTTTATATATATATTATATTAAAGGTTTTGGTTAGTAAATATATATATTTTTATAATATTTATACTTTAACTAGCTAGTACATTAAAACTTAATTATTATAATATAAAACTATATTAACATGCTATTAAAGCCAAGTAAATAATAAAATTTTATTTTTAAATAAGTAACTAAAGTACTTTTAAAAATATTTAAACTAATTTAAAACTAGTTTTAATTACTAAAATTATTAACCTTTTTTTTAATATATTTAATAACTTTAATAAATATAGCAGGCCCCCTAGCTATTTTATTATAAAAATATTATTTTAACTAGGCTAGCTTTTTAAAATTAATTTTAATTTTACTCTTAACTTTTAATTTTTGGCCCTTTACATGGGTAGCAGTAAAAAAGTCTTAAAAAATATTAAAAAATTTAAAATAATTAGTAAGTACTTAAAAACTAGTTTTCTAGTAAACTTATAATATTAATACATATTTTTAAATAAGTATAGTAATAAAAATACTAAAATAATATTAATACTAAAAAAATCTAGCCCTAGGGTAAAGCAGGCTTTATTAACTTATATAATATATTAATAAGCAGGTATAGTAAAATTAGCCCTAAAAAATTATTAGTACTAAAGTAGTTCTTCCTATAAGTAAAGTAGTTTTTAAGGTATATTAAAATATATAAAGCACGCTATTTATAGGGTGTGGCTAGAGTTATACTAAAGTATTATTAATATAAAACTAGTTTTTATATAAAATAAAATATTTTATTTTTTTATATAATATAATTAAAACTAAAAGCCCCTGGCATATATAAATTTAAAAAAACTTAATTTAAATAAAATTTTATTAAGACTATTTTTTACCTTTTATAGTTTTTCTTACTTTGCTATATTAAAAGCCTTGTATTTTTAATATATTAAAAAAGTTAAAAATAATTTTAAAGTAGTTTTAAAGTAGTTTTAATATATATATAATTTTTTTATATATACTTAAGGTATTATTTATACATATTATTTATATAGTATTTATACTAAGTTTTATAAAAAACTTTTATATAATATTAATTTATATCACACTAATTAAGCTGCCGGGAGCTACCTTAAAATTAGTAATTAAAAATAATTTTTATAATAAATAAAATAGTTTTAACCTTATAACTACACCAAGCAGTAACTTTTAAATACTTAAAAAATAGGACTTATAATAACTTTACTTAATAATATTAGTATTTTCCTAGATTTACTTATAATAATTAGGCAAAATTTAAAAACAGGCTTAGTTAAAACTAGTAATAATAACTAAATAAGCTTTATATTTAGCCTAATTATAAATAAAGATATTTTTATATACTAATTAAAATTAAAACTAGTTCTAAAGTACTTTAAAAAATAAAAAAATATATTTTAAAATAGTTTATAAAAATTAAAATAATTTTTTAAAGTCTTAGTAGTAAGCAAGCTTTTTATATAATAGCTAATAAATATATAATACTCCTCCTAAGAGTAAAGCTTTTAAATAATTTAAAAAAAGTAAATATAATATATAATAAGAATATTTTTTAACTACCATGTTTAAACATAATTATAAAAATCTTTTTTTTAAAGGTATTAACCTAATTCTAAAACTAGTTTAGCCTAAGGTAAAAGTAATTTTATATAAAGCTTACTAGCTATTTACTTTATATATATATTTATTATAATACCCTTAATATTAATATTATAAAGGTAAAAAAACTAGTTAAAAACCCCTGCATAAAAGTAATAAAACTAAAAATTTTTTTTAAAAAGTAAAAAATATTTATTTATAGTTTTAATATTAATAAAAACATGTAGTAATATAAAAACTAAAAGTAATTAGTAACTAGTTTTAAAAAAAAGGCAGGATATAGGTAAGTAAAGTACTTAAAAAATATTTTTTAACTTACTTTTATTATGCTTTAGCAGGAATATAGTAAAAATAATCTTATTAAAAGTACTTTTAACACGCTTATAAAATATATTAACTTTAAAAAAATTTAATAAGGCTAAAAGCTTAATTTATTTATTAAATATATAAATAATTATAATAATATTTTTATAGGTAATAAGCCTTTAGTAATAATACTTTTTAAGTAGTTAGTAACTAGTTTCTAGGGCATAAAATAAGTTAAATACCTTAAAGTTTAGCTTAACTAAAAGCTAAAATTATATACTAGTTATTTTTTAGCCTTTAGGGTAAAGTAAAGCCCTTTTTTTTATAATAATAGTAAAAAAATAATCTTGGTTTATAAAGCTATTATAAATTTAAAATAATATTTAGTTATTATATTATTAATAAAAGTTTTAAAGGGCTGGACTTTTTAAAAATTAACTTAAAAATAATTTAGTACTAAATAAAACTACTTATAAAGTAGTTTATATACCTATTATAAGGTTAGGATTTTATATTTTATAAATAAGCTTAATAACCTTATTAAAAATAGCCTTTAAAGATTAATTTAGTAAAAAAAAAAATAAGTATATATATCTTAAAAAACTACCATGGTAAAAAAATATTTTAACTAGTTTAAAAAAATAAAAATATTAAATATAACCTTATACTTAATTTTTTTAAGTTTTTTTTTTTTTTTATAGGTGGCTTTAGCCTAAATAAAGTAATTAGTAAGTAATTTTAAGGTTTTAAAAAAAAATATTTATAAAACTAGTTTTATTTTTAAAAAACTAGTTTTAATCCTATATACTATATTTTTTTTTAACTAGTAACAAGCTTAACTATATTATATTTTTTAAAATTAACTAGGGCTAAAGCTTTAAAGTAAGCTTAAAGTAACTTAATATTAATACTTTAAGCTTAGTTAAATAAGCTAAATATAAAATACTTATTAAAATTATATTAATTATTATATAGGCATATTATATAGTAATAATATATATTAAAAATATTTTAAAATAATTAAAAATTAATTTATACTTTAAAATTAGGGCTACTTACTAGTATAGCATGCTTTTATAAAATAAGCTTATAAATAAAAATTACCCGTAAGCATGCCTTTTTACTTTTAAAGTATTTTTAAGTTACTTAAAAAAGGCTAAATAAGCTTGGTTAGTAAAGTAGTTTTAAAATAATAAAACTAGTTTTAACTTACTTATATATAGTTTTAATTTTTAAAAAAGCTTTACTTGCTATAATCTCCCTATACTTATTATATATTTTATTTAAAAATTTTTTTTTAACTTTTTAATAGGTAATATTTTATAATTTTAAATTTAAATACTTATAAACCTTAACCCTAAAGTAATTAAAGTAAAATTTACTATATATTTACCTAAAAAACTAGTTAAAAATCTATCTTGTACCTTTAATTTTTACCTTATAATATATAAACTAAAATAATTAGTAATTAATTTTTAAAAAATATAAACTTATATATATTATATATATTTTTTTTAGGACTATATGCCTGTTATTTTATTTATATAAATAATATATATATAGCTATTAAAATTAGTAACAGGATACTTTAATAAGTAATTAATAAATTAAAAATAATAGGCTAAAATAGGGTATATTTAACTAGTAGTTACTAGTATTAATACTAGTAGCTTTTAAAAAAGTAATTAAAAAATACTTTAAAAATAGTTAAAAATTTTTATATTTTATTATTAGGATTAGCTTCCTGGGCTTAATTATACTTTTAAAAAATATTTTATTTTTATTTATTAAAAAAGCCTAATTAATTTATAAAAACTTTTTTAACAGCTAGCTAAAGTAAAGGCGTTAATACTAATAAATTAATAAGTATATTAATTATAAGATTATTAGGGGGATTATTAGTTAAAGCTATAATAAAGTAATTTAAAGTATTATAAAATTACTTTTTTTAAAATATTAATAAGGTATAAAATAAAATTTATTAAAAATATAAGGTAGGCTAAGGGTTTTAATTAAGCAAGCTTGGCTTACTTACCTTAGCTTAATTAAGCTGCGGTCAGCTGCAGACGGGGTGGGCCGACCTGTATTCACGGGGAGGGAGTAGTAGATGCACCCCATCGGCCAGAGCAGCGTCGAGTAACAGGCTTTGAAGCGGTTCCACCTAAAAACCGCCTTGGACTAAGCAACATAACGCACCATACAGCTTCTTTTCTTCATATGATGCGGAGTAGCTTGCGGACCCCGGCGGCCCGGCCAATATATGAGACCGATAGCTGAGACGGGACCTGGGAAGATGGAGATTATAAATGATAGTCGCGGGCTCTGGCCAACTTTCCAGCCAACCTGACCAGGATATAAAAACTGGAAAGCATACAGTATACAAAGATGACACATATCGATATCCAGATTACCAACGGTTCCCCGGAGTCTGTTGAGACTCGGCTTTTTATCAATGGCGAGGTACGGCCAGCGATTGCCTCCTTTTGTTGCGATGTCAGTCCGTTGACGCATAGCTTTAATGAGCATAGTTCCGGCCCTCGTCAGACGGGAAAACATTCAGCTTGATCAACCCATTCACACAGCAGTCCGTAGCAGAAGGTTCGTAAGCAGGGATGATACATGTCGACGAGAAAACACTAAACTGACCCACTGCAACAGTTTCCCAAGCCACTGAAGAAGACACCAACAATGCCGTCGCTGCGGCCAAGGCAGCGTTCCCGGCTTGGAGAGACCTCTCGCCCGCCCAAAGGGGCGCTTACCTTCACAAACTGGCTGCTCTGATCCGCGAAAATAACGATGAATTTGCGCGGCTGGAGGCCTTGTCTACTGGAAAGCCTGTCTCGCGGTACTTTGATGCTACCGTTGGCGCCGACACCTTCTCATACTTCGCTGAGGCGGGATGGACGGTCCAGGGAACCTCCAGTTTGAACACCCCCGGCCACTTAAACATGACTGTTAAGCAGCCGTATGGCGTCGTTGCTTGCATTATTCCGTGGAACGTGCCCATGGCATTTTTCGCCTTCAAGATTGCCCCTGCTCTGGCAGCTGGAAACACGGTCGTCTTGAAGAGCAGTGAGAAGGCGCCTTTGACTGTTAGGCTTCCATCGCCCCTATGCGGTTCGCTTTAGCTAACGCGCGCAGTCCGCCCTCGCAGCCAAATTAATCGCCGAAGTCGGCTTCCCTCCCGGCGTAATCAACATCCTCTCTGGCTTCGGTACACCCGCCGGTAGCACGCTAGCCTCGCACATGGACGTGCGCTGCCTCACCTTCACCGGCTCCTCGTTCACCGGCCAGCGCATCCAAGCCGCAGCCGCCGCGTCGAACATGAAGATCGTGCACATGGAGCTCGGCGGCAAATCACCCGCCTTGATCTTCGAAGACGCGGATCTGGAAAACGCCGCGGCGGCAACCCAGTTCAGCATCCAGTGCTTGAGCGGCCAGACCTGCATGGCGAACTCGCGCATCTACGTCCAGGAGTCTGTGGCTGAGAAGTTCTTGGCACTCTTCAAGGAAAAGTTCGGTGGTGCGAGCCTTGGAAACCCGCTTGATGAGGCTACGACGCACGGACCCCAGGTTGACGAGCTGCAGTATGAGCGTGTTAAGTCATATATCGGTATTGGTGAGCAGGACGGCAAGCTCACTCTGGGCGGTGACGCGAAGGATGGGTACTTCATCAAGCCGACTGTCTTCGAGAACGTCCCTGAGGATTCGAGGATCGTGAAAGAGGAGGTCTTTGGTCCCGTCGTTGTGATCAATACCTTCAAGACGGAGGAGGAGGCTATTGAGAAGGCTAACGCCACGGAGTTTGGTCTCTATGCTTCTGTCTTCACGAAGGATTTAGACCGCGCTGTGCGTGCTTCCAAGCTGTTGGAGGCTGGTACTGTTGGCGTTAACACTACGAGCCCTAATGTCGCCAAGGACATGCCGTTTGGTGGGTACAAGATGAGCGGTATTGGCCGCGAGGGCTTCATGCACAGTCTTGACAACTTCCTGGAAACCAAGACGATCTTGATCAAGATGAGCTCTTGAAAAACCAAGCTCAGGAGACAGAAACGTGGGATGGAGGAGGATATGACGGGACCGTATTGGCTACAACACGGCTTTAATTCGACCATAACCAGACTTTAGCGGAATGTTTATTTTTGCATAGAATGCCATTGCATATTGGTTATCAGATAATCCCTTGCAAGGTTGAGACAAGGATAGCATATACATATAGTGGTGGAGTTTGTCGATATGTCGGAGCCCTGGACGAAGAAGTCGGCAACAAAGTCGACGAAGGGGCCGCTGTCGCTGCAAACTATGAGCTTTTCCTAGTTGCCTCAACATTCACATTGTACCCACTCTTAGAGTCATAAGGGAAAGGGTTTGTGTAGTTATAGGTCGGCTCGGTCCCAGCGTAGGTCTGCTTGACGATTTCAAGAATTCCATGACCAGCCGAGCAGTCACCGTCTATCAGCGGGTTCGGCCATACCGGCGAGTGCTCGGACAAATCTCCATTTGACAGAGGCCCTGGATATGTTTGGTTGAGTCTCAGGTTCGTGGTGTCAACGTCATAATTGACATAGCCGGTTTTGTTGGCTACGATCTCGAGGATATTAGCTCCACAGTCCCAGCGTCCTAGAGATGGAAGGCCCCAATTGGCCGAAACAGACGCAATGACCGAGTAATGGGTGTAGAAGGTATTATCTTCAGTGCCGTGCAGGTTCTCTGGGACGGCACCTCCCAGAAGAATGCTAAAAATGCGGTTGGTCTTGCTGTATGTCTTATCCTCATCGAAGGTGATGAGGATAAGGGTATTGTTCATAAAGTATTCATTTTCAAGCAGAGGCGAGATCCAGCCGCGTAGCCAGTTTGCGGCAAAGGTGATGTTAGTGTCGTGGGCGTCGTTGGTCATATTTGGAGTGAAAAAAGCCCACTGGGGAAGTTTTTCGTTAGCGAGATCAGCATCGAAGTGTGTAAAGTTTTTGATCTGGCGCCCGCGCATGGTGTTCTCGGTGACCGAGTCGTATAGAATGAGTGGATTGTGCTTGCGCACGTAATCATCGTGGAAGGTCTCTTGATTTGAGTAGTTGAATCCTTGGAATCCCGGGTAGGGCATGTGTTCCTGGTACTCGCCCCATGCGATGTACTTGGTGTCAAGAATATCGACAATGGTCGAGACGTTAGCTGGAATCCGTTGGAAATCATCATTGTCCATGCCAAATGTGTCGCCTCCTGCTGCTGCGCAGTAGTTTGGTTCTGAAGGATGTGTAAGAGCGTAGAAGTTCGTGCTGTCCAGTCAGAACTATAGCAGTCGCAATACACATTGGACAGATTACTCACAGAGCTATCCCTTGTGTTGCCAGCCACTGCAGATTCTTGTCCGCCGCGGCATTCTCGTAATCCTATCGAGGCGAAACATTATTCCTCGAGGGTCAACTATAGTGAGCACAGCGGACCTACAATGTTTTCGAACCAGACCTGGAAAATCCGGTCGAAGGCGAGACCCTCGACATTAGAAACTGGGGAATACGGCATGACAGTGGCTGCACTGGCGGCTATGTCTGATAAGGAGGGTTCAGTTGTCGTCACAGTCCGAGCGAGGGTCGAAGCGATAGTCCCTAGGACAGTCGCAAGTGAGGACTTCATTGTGAATAATTCCCAGAGCATTGAGGGGTCTGGATGTTCGCGGATTCTGGAGAGACAGTCTGAGGTTGGTTGCTTATAGAGCGCAGCAAAGGGAAATTGTTGGTCACCAGCAGATGTCAGGGTTACACCCACTACTGCCGCACCCTCGTGTTAAGTATGCAACACCTGTCATCCAGGTCATACTCTCCCCTCACCTGCAACCCCTCATTAGATCTATGCTAGTGTGATAGGGCGAAGATCAGCAGGTATCGGAGAGTGGCCTTTGGAGCACCTTGCGGGCCACCCTACACTTCTTGGGAAAGCTTAACAAGCACTCATTCATGCACGTGGCTCAAGTCAACCATGCTCAACGCAGGCAGGCCTTTGCTGGATCGGATTGTTCGCATACTCCGCACACACACTGAGCTCGGCATCGTTTACTATAATAATACTGCACCAGTGCTACAAGCTTAAGGGAACTAATGGTGGACGATATGGGGTCCAGCGTTGAGTGGCTTAGTAAGCAAGGATTAGTGAGCATCGAGACAGTTCAGATCACGTGCGTGGATAGTCCGGCACCAACCTCGGCTGCGGGCGATCTGGGGAAAGCATGGACCTGGTCCCGACAGGTAACTTCCCCCCTAGGTGCTCCCTACCAGCAGGCTGGGCTTTCAATTTGACCGCACAATGATAAGACGATGAGCTCGACGAACTTTGCCGCTGCTCAGCAGCGCGTCCTTGAACGCCGTCGACGACGCGAGACCGAAGCCCAGAACCGACTCGCCGAACAACAACGAACCTCCGTCGCGAATCATCCCGCATTGCAACGACTTCCCTATCCCTTGAATACCCTACCACAATCAGGCTTCTCAATATGGAACGCGATCAGAGGTCGCGAAGGCACGAGGCCTGCCTTCCGTGTTGGCCAGGTTGACGCGGAATTGTTGGATGAGGAGTTGCTCGGCCTGCTGAAGGGACAGGTTGGGGATGCGCTCAAATACTTCGGAGTAGGCTTCACGCGACTGTTTCGCCTGATAAATGCTTACTTGATTCTCTAGCCGCATCTGCGCGATGATTGGTCCAACGAAATTCAACTCGTTCTCCGCGCGATTCTCTTCAAGCTCTCAATATGGGACCACGACGCTTCATACGGCGCCGCTCTCCAAAGCCTCAAATACATCGACAGCCGCAGCAAAGGCCCCGTGCACTCAACGCCTACAAAGCTCCAAAAATCTCTATACGGCCTCTTAACTGTCGGCGGTCGCTACGCATGGGACAAATGGGAGAATTGGCTCATCGCCCAAGAAGGCGGCTACGAGGAACCATCACAGGAAGTCCGGTCACTATCCCGGTTAACTAACATCTTCTCCACATCACACTCCATCGCAGCCTTTATCTCTTTTCTTGTCTTCCTCGTAAACGGTCGCTATCGAACACTAATTGACCGTCTCCTCCGCATGCGCCTTACACCCCCCTCCGCCCAAGCCAGCCGCGAGGTCTCCTTCGAATACCTAAACCGCCAACTAGTGTGGCACGCCTTCACTGAGTTCCTCCTATTTCTTCTCCCTCTCGTCGGCATCAGCCGCTGGCGCCGCTGGATCTCCCGCGCATGGCGCAAAACGATCTCCGCAATCCGATCAACAAGCGTTGACGAAGACGAAGACTCCGAAAAACAAGGCGAACTCGCATTCCTCCCCGAACGTACCTGCGCAATCTGCTACAAAGCCAATAATGACGCGACGACAGAAAGCGAAATCATGGCGTCTGCCTCAGCGGGAGCAGGGGGGATCATCGGCTCCGCACAGACTGACATCACGAACCCCTACGAAACGATACCCTGCGGTTGTATCTACTGCTTTGTTTGTATTGTCCAGAAACTTGAAGGCGAGGAGGGTGAGGGTTGGGTTTGTCTCAGGTGCGGAGAGCTTGTCAAAAAGTGCAAGCCATGGAATGGCGATGTCCTTGAGGAAGAGACAAAACGGAGGTCATCCTCGGGGAAGATTGTTGGGTTTGCTGTAGATGATAACGCTCCCTCCGAGCAAGAACAGGTGCCTGTGGGTGAGAACCCCGCTGGTGCCGAGACAGCATGATTACATATACCCAGAGCGTTTCAGGAATTTATACCTACTTTATATATCCAGCGTCGTTTTGAAACTATACCTATCCTAGCCTTTCTGTATTCAGAAATGATAATGATAAAGATAAAGCAAACACCGGTTCGCATGAGACTACCATAAAATCGACCACGGACTGAAATGGAGCTGGCGACCACGCTACGATACGATTAATTATATGTATCTACGCCCGCTTGTCATACTTGGAATAGAAACACCACCGCAACACGTCTTTTACTACTTACAGGTAGTATCCACTAGCAGAAGTACCCCTAAAGCCTCATAGGGTTGGGGCGGCGATTGATAGCTTGCTGGCCCAGGTGGAAATTGTATGGCCAGGGTCAGAGGTAAAGAAGGCCAGCCCTAGGTAGGGGTTCAACTGCACATGGTCTGTTTATGTATACTACCAGTAGGGTCCTACAGCTTCAACCGAACTGGTTCTATTAGTGTAAAGTAAAGGATAATTGTCAGTTGTAAGAAAACACGCTGTCTAATAAAACACAAAATGCAAAACACCACTCCAGTCAAACTACTGTACAACAGTCTATAGGTAACATAAGCAAGGCAAGGCAAGGAAGGTATCATCATGACTCGTGAAAAACAGTATAATACGCAATGGTATCGAACGCCAAAACCCAGAAAATAATAAGACAAAAGTAATTGGGAAAGGTCCCGAAAGCATGGCATCAAAGCGTCGGCGCCCTCTTCAGGCCAACGCAATATCGCACAAACAATGTATCAATAAAATGGCCGTGCCGGATTCCCGGCGGACGGCGTTTCTCGAATTCGTCGATGGCTTCTTGGACTCCAAATCCGCATCGTTCGATTAGATAGCTAACGATCAAGAAGCCGGTTCGGTTGAAGCCGTAGTGACAGTGGACACCAACCACGGGCCGTAATCGGGATGGGTCATCGGATTTCTCTATCTTCTCCGTGATTTCGTTCTGCAGGCGATCGACTAAAGCAATGAAATCGCGGACCTCATCTGGCGTTGGGGGTATTTTGGAGACGGTCGGATATTTTTGGTAATGGATACCGCCGGCCTCCAGGGAAGCTGGATTGTATACGGGGCTCTCGTGGCTGATGTCGATAACACAATATATGTTGTCGCGCTGCGCCTGAGAGAAAAGAACCGGATTGTGTTCCTCATCGACTTCGCGCAGCATCTTGAGCGCCACGAATGTGTTGGCAATCCGCTCAGAGACCGGCGGGACCTTCTTCCATTTCGCCAAGTTCTTGACATCCCATTTTCCGGACGTGTTCAGGTGCTGGAGTTGCCACCCGAGGTTCAGCCTGTGGTCGGCATGTTGGGCGACAAAATCCTGGATGATTCCCGCAAGCGTGCGGTATGTTGCACGGTCATATAACAAGGCATGGGACGCAGGTGCCGGAAGGACGACAGTCTTTACGGAACGTTTGGTTTGGACAGATCCATTGGATCCGACCATGGACTTCTCGTCTTGCTCTGGCTTAATACCGAACTTTTCCTCGTGGGCCAGGGAGTCAGGAGATTCCGAGGTCTGCGCAGGAAGTCTAGAGTCGGGAACAGTGGCGCTGCCGTCAGCACCTTCATTGACGGTCTTCTCTGTATCGCCAAAAGCTCTCAGAAGCTTTCGGAGTTCAGCAGGCTTGGTCACTGCATCCGATTCTCCGCCAACAAGCAAAACAGGTGTCTGGACACCAGCCCAAACTTCCTCTCCAGGAAGACCACCGACCGGTTTACCGTTAGAATATGAAGGAAGAGTTCCCCAAGCCATACGCCTCCAGACCGGCGTCTTGCTTTGTTTGTTGTACCGAATTTGAAGGCCGCGAGTCTCGTCATCGGCATCCGCGCCGACAAGCCGGGTAACGCTACTGCTGTAAAGGCCTCCGCGCCTATCCCATTGTCGCCAGAGGTCAAAGACAGGCCCAGGTATATACAGCAAACGGCGATAGGACGAAACTTCTTTGGGTGAAGGTGGTGACGCGCGAGGACAGATGGCCACGAGGCCAATGATATCATCCTTCAAGTCATGCCTGAGAGGTGAAGTTGAAGATGTTAGCAATGCTGACAGCGAACAGCCTAGACTGTGCGCAATCAAGACCACTTTCTGGCCCGCTTCCTTATCACGTTGTTTATCAATGGCTGTGGCAAGCAACTCCGCTAGAGCTTCGACCGTGTACGCATCCCACGAGGTAGGCGCAAAAGATGACAGCCCGCAACCGGGCAAGTCAATTCCGAAGCAAGGACCGACGTTTGAGAGGCTGGTAAGGAGATGGTTGAACTGCGCCAGTGAGCCTCCTAAGCCGTGTACAAATACCAACAGTGGGATCGGCGACGGCTTAGTTGGGAATTTATCCATCTGAGGATGTGGGCGGTAAAACGTCCGTATTGATGGGTACTCGGCGACGGAGGTGGTATAGGAGAGATATGTTGAATGCTTCTTCAATAGACCAGGGTCGGTATTGACCGCTGAGCATTGATCAGCATCGCCTGATGAGTTGCTCGAGGTATGATTACCATTCTGCGACTCGCTACCCTTCTGGGGTGCATCCTGGCTTGGGCGACTTTCGGCATGTTGCCATGACCCCGAACTCTCGTAACCGTCTTCGTCGGACGAGGTCACCGTGCCAGCGGATCCCTTGTGAGCATCCCTCTGAGAATGGCGAATACGTCGTTTCTTCATCGACCTAGAAGAACTTCCGCGCTGCAGGAGCGAAGCCAGCAATCCGCAGCCCACCATCATGACAGCGCAGGCGGCCAAGAAAACTATCTCGCCCTGGTTCACTGTCGGGTCCGAATCAAATGCATGAAAGGAGAAGGTAGATGCAACGAAAGGGGTTATCTCCAAGAGAGTGCAAGAGATATGACAACGAAGCAGTCGCAGGATACTAGTGTCAAGTAACCCTAAACGGGGACCGGGTGGAACAGGTAAGCTAGCATTGCGGGAGTTCATATTGGCATTTGCTTCGGTCCGGACGTTTATATAAAGTTGCGATCTAGCCCAAAGGACAACTGTTCCCCCCACTTCTCAAGGGGCCGGTCATGCAACCACACAGGGGGCGACGAGGATCCGTTCTGGAATGCGAATCGAACTCTCCACGAGACCGAACGGCGAGAGCTCTTTGGAGGAAAGGTCCGGTTAGGAGATAGTGAGGCGACAAGGCGGGTCCTTCAAGGAGAACGAGACGCTAGGGGGAATGATAGATCCTAGCTCTGGCTGCTCCGTACGTTGATAGGGACCTGGGCCAATGAGTGGCTCGGATGCAGCACGTTGACCGTCCAGTTGGGTCGGAACGCTTGCGGAGGGCTTATGAAGTTCCACTCGGAGTCTTGGACACTGGCCAAAACTTAAAGGCGCTCTATGAAGAGGTATGATGTATCGCTGGGCTGAACTGAGCTCGCAGGAGGTTTCCGACGGTGGAACAGCGGGTGTGACTCAATTTGGGACCTGGTCTGGACATCCGATATAAAGATTCTGTAATCGCCGATAGCTTGTTAGCAATACTGCCAAAGTATTTGGACGTTGTCCGCTCATAGGCGCATACTGGTTGTATTAGAAAAAGCAATGCGACAGGTTGAAGGCTGCTAATGAGCGACTGTCTTCCGCAGTACGGAGTAGATCCCCAGAATCAAGCGCGACAAAGAACCGTGCTGTGCGACGTGCGACAGTCAACTACCCAACCAGAGCTGGGCAATCAAGCTCATGAGACCCCTTGCTGACAGTGCCACAGAGGGAGTAGAGAGAGTGAAAAGCTAAGCCAGTCACAGCCATCGAAGCAACATCGTGAGTAAAGCGCCGACCCTGGTCCGGGAAACAGCAACAAAGAGTAAAAAACAAAGCGATGTGGGCCACCGCCGATGACTCAGCCCGCCCGTATGGTGCATGACCAAATTGTTTCTGCTTGACGATCAACAGTTTCAGACCTAGATGATCGACTGGCAGTCGGTGAGCTGGGAGATACTCGGCTTCGAGCTTGTCATATGATCTTCTAGAAGTTATCCTTAGCTTGAAGGGAAAAGGGGCGAAATACCCCCTATGGCGCATTCCATCGTAAATTCAAAACGAGCCCGGAACATGGAGCGGTAATTAATGATGTCATCGCTGTTTATCTACAATCATTGTTCAACAACCCATAACCTTGCTACAATAATAATTGTAGTAAACCTACTTGAAGGTATGGTGCGTCTTGAGGAACCATGAATAACCTCTATCTATCTTACAGCGATTCATATCCGCCAATGTGTCGATGAAAATACTTTGACCATTGCTGTTTTACAATCCGGACCACCATGACGATCTCTAGCCTCTAGCTAATCTGGTGCAGGCTCTTATATCCCAGAAGCTAGGATTTCAAGCCAATCAGTTGATCTCAAGGCAAAGACAATCCATATTTATATGGCTGTAAAAGGTATATAAATCCTGCTGAATCTTTGATGAAGCGCTCAATAGTCCAAATAATTGGCCTCAAAATAGATCTGTCATAGCGCCATGCGAAGCATCCCCAACTAGCCGGGCATATTTCGCAAGTACACCACGTGTCACAGTAGGAGCCGGTGGCTTCCATTCCTTCAGCCGCCGTTGAATCTCCTCATCCGAAACATCCATGCTGAGCTCGTTGTTCTCAGCGTTGATGGTGACCAAATCTCCGTCGCGGACTACAGCGATGGGTCCTCCAACTGCTGCCTCTGGCACGATATGTCCGACGATGAAGCCATGAGAGGCACCGGAGTACCGACCATCAGTAATCAGCGCCACGTTGGCGAGTTTCGCGCCCATAAGAGCCGCACTAGCTTTGAGCTGTTCCGGCATGCCTGGTCCTCCTTTAGGACCTTCGTAGCGAACAATTATCACCAAGTTCTCTCCGCGGGGGATCTTTCCATAAGTCAACGCGTCGTTGAGCTGGTACTCCTTGTCAAAGACGCGTGCCTTTCCGGTAAACTTGGTTCCTTCTTTGCCTGTGATCTTGGCCACGGCGCCACCCGGAGCAAGGTTACCCTTCAGGATCTGGAGGTGGCCCGTGGGCTTGATGGGGTTGTCTAAAGGTCGGATGATGACCTGGTCGTCGGGCAATGACGGAAATGAGGCAACGTTTTCAGCTAAAGTCTTGCCGGTAACGGTAGGAATATCGCCATCAATCAGGCCAGCTGCAATCAACAGCTTATGAACGGAGGGAATGCCGCCAATCTCGTAGAGGTCGGCCATGAAGTATTTCCCACTTGGGGAAAGGTCTGCAATGAATGGAATCTTATTGCTGACTCTTTGAATGTCATCCAAAGTGAGGTCAACGCCTGCGGTTCGGGCCATGGCCAGGAAATGCAGCACGCCGTTGGTGCTGCCTCCCAAGGCCATAGTCATGACGAGGGCGTTCTCAAAGGACCTCTTGGTAAGTAGGTCGCGCGGACGAATATTCTTCTCCAGACAGGTCTTTATAGCATCAGCTGCCTTGACACACTCTCGCATCTTGGTTGGTGATGAAGCAGGAGTTGATGATGACCCAGGAAGAGACAGTCCCATGGATTCAATAGCGGTCGCCATTGTGTTTGCGGTAAACATGCCTCCACAGGCACCTGCGCTGGGGCAGGCGTGCCTTTCTAGGTCATCCATGATTTCGTCCTTTGTCTGGCTAGTATCACCTCCGTCGTCGGGTTGGCGCAGCGTGTCGTAGGCGTAAGCACCGGCAGCCTCGAAACAAGAGCCAACACTAATGTTCTTCCGGAGTGACTGAGAGTAACCCTTCTGGATCGTACCACCGTAAATCATAAGGGATGGTCGGTTGTGCCTGGCCATACCCATTACAACACCTGGCATGTTCTTATCACAGCCCGGTATAGCTATGCAAGCATCGTGATATTGAGCGCATGTAACGGTTTCGACACTGTCGGCGATAATCTCACGGGATTGAAGCGAAAACCTCATTCCTGCGCTATAGTTAGGACGAAGTTCCTTATGATAGTACCGCACAAGTGTAGTCTAGCACCAATGCATACCTTCACTGCCCATGGAGATAGCATCTGAAACTCCAATAGTATTATATTGCCAGCCGAGCATTCCTCGGTCAACCACAGCCTTCTTAGCAGTCGTCGCAAGGTCCAGGAGATGCATATTGCAAGGGTTTCCCTCCCACCAAACGCCTGCTATTCCGACGTGGGGGCTTTTTGCCATAGATTCCTTGTCGGGAACGCCAGCAGCATAGAGCATGGCCTAATTGATCCATGAGAGTCAGTTGGTGGATGCATGTACAAGGTACAGTGTCCGACTCACCTTTGCACCGGGGAAGTCATGGCCACGAGTGATGTGTGTAGAGTGCCGATTTAAGGCGAGGGTTCCGTCTGCATGCTTTGCATCGCTTGGGAGGACGGGGAACTCGATATATTTGGGTTCCTGGAGGGGAGGGTTGTTTGTAGGTTTCGTGGGATCCATTGCGGGGTAACCAGAAGTAGGAACGCTCGGATTTGTCGTTACAAGTCAATGGACTTAGAGGACGAGCTGCGAGTTATATAGGAAGGTGGGAAAGCTCTGCCAGCTCGAGATCAAGCCACGAAGCTCGGGCAATGTGTGGGATCGGCATCGGAGCCCCTCCAGAGTCCAGAGTCCAGGCCTCCACAGTCGGACTTGAGTCCGTTGCGGGGAAGCAGTCAGCCAATTGCCCGCCCTCTGATTAGCTGTTGCTACTTATCCATGCAGAGTATACCTCACCCATATTGCGAAGGCAGAAAGACCCATTGTAGATACTCCGCGATTGACTTGCAATGAATAATCGGCAGAGCGACTGGAATTTCTCACTCGGAATTCCACTCGGCTCCCCAGGCCCCCGTGACGGCCCTCTTGAGGACGATGGCCAACTCAGAAAAGAGCACCTACACTACTTTGAACACAAGTAGCATCAGGAGCCTGTAATCTGAGAGATTCTGACACGGCGCTAATGATGTTTTAGAACTGCGAATAGACCAAGCAATCAGCGTACCGCTAAGAGGCAGAAGCGCCTTGATCCTGGTACAGCCTCACAGTAAGATATTTTGGGACGCAAAACCACATTCACTGGCCATGATAACTTCTGTAGGGTTGGATTCTAGCGCGCGCTTCCACTTGTCCTTAGACGTAGCCTGTAAATTGCTTCAGAAATCAGTATTTAAGCCATTTGCGTTGTGATCTGGCGTCCTCATCCTCCAGCCCACAGCTTTCCAACCGAATAAAGGCCTTTTTACAGAAGCTCCAGTTAGACAGTATCCGGTGGTATTCGTCCAGAATTCTCTTTTTCCAGCGTGTCTGGAAACTCTCCCGCCCTATCAAGACTTTGAGCAGGTTACTAGCATGGTCGCCAACAAGAAGCGACTGTACGTCGCTCTCTATCCTAGCGGCATTCCCAATAACGAAGAGCGAAAGTAGGCGACCACTTATGCTATTCTAAGCTTTTCACATAGCAGACGCTAACGACTATCACAGGTATCATTGGGGTTTCCTAGTCGGGCCTAAGATGGAGGGTGGCGGCGACGTGCCAGGCAAGCGATATCATGTCAAAAACAACCCAGTCAAAGGCTGGGAGTATCAGGAGGTCAATCTGCCAGATATTCGGACCACAACCACCTTACTCGCACGCATTTTGATTGCGAAGATTGAGGATGAAGAGCGTCTCGTCGCTATCATTCGAAGTATACCTGTCGTACAGAACGATCCAGATTGGAGATGTCGTACGTGGCTCGCACATGCCTTAGCAGCGATGACGAAAGACGGCAAAGCTGTAGGGACGTCAGAGCTAGATTGGCATAAGATTGAAGCACTGCCAGACGATATGTTGCAGATAAAACGTCCGCTGGTCGTTACGAAAGCGCGGCAAATCTTGCGGGACCCAGACCAACTTGGGACATGCTTGCGAATAAGCAAATCGTGCCTTGATTGCAGCTATGAAGATATCAGTGCAGTAAGGCGTCTCGTCGCTTGGACCAGTTGGGCCTGGTTGTAGTGAGCAGTCGCATGCCTATTGCGAGAGCACGATGTCTGTCCGCTTGTAATCGATTTCATGTTTTCGATTTCAGAAATCTCCCCACCACCTGTGCCGAACCTTCTCCATCCCCAATTCAGCAGGAAATTGGTCGAGAACCTCGCAAACTCGGTCTCGCCATTCTGTTCTTGTAGTGTTGCCGAGCCAAACAGACGTGTACTCCCAGTAGTGGGGATACCAGCCCGAAAACTCCCAGTCGATGATACTTATAATCTTGCCATCCCGTACTAGGACGTTAGAAGGGTTCAGGTCTCCATGCGTGAATACTGGTAGAGGCCATAGCCCATCCTGTTTGAGGGCCATCTCTTTAATCTCTTCCCAGTCTTGTTCGTCGCCCCAAGTTGAGTGTTCCGCTGGTTGCAAATAGTCCCTCAGCCAGAGGTGGAACTCATTGACGGACTTGAAAGGACCGAATCGTGGGCGAGACCTAGGTATGCGCGAATCGCGAAGCGAGCCACCCACGCAGCTGCTGACTCCATTGCCCTTGGGTTTGAGAGATCGCAGCTCTTTAATCATGCGCTGTAGGTCAATTAACAATTGTTGACGAGATTCCTCCGTTAGCTTTGCCCAGGCATTTGGGGCTTCATCGCCTCGCATCCGTTCCATGACGATATAAGCACGATTCTTCCGAACAAAAGAGCAATAAACCTTGGGGACAGGAATGGATGTATGCTCTGAGACAAACTTCATAGTTGCCGCTTCGGTTAAGTGGACCCAGGGATCCGTCTTGACAACCTTATGAGGCGATATACGCAAGCAAGAGCCACTGCGCGAGTAGAGCCTCGCGGTAGTCTTCAGAGCCAGGAGCGTCATGAAGCGGTTGATGGCGGTATTGTTAATCGCTAAACCTTCAGTGCCCTTATGTTGGGTCGCCATCCCATCTGGAGGGGGCACATAAGACAACATCTTGCTATGTTGATCTGGTCAATGTCAAAGCTCCTGGACTGAAAGATGAGTTGCACAACAAACGCTAGTGGCTGGCTTATTCTGCTTAGTAATTGTGACCCGACCTGTGGCTGCCTCAGGCGACACTCTACTTAGGGTACGGCTAGACCCGAACAGGCTAAGCGAAGCGCCCACAACCAACCGAGCGGCCGCCATCCAACTCCAATTGTGTGCGAGTGAAATTTCGACTCTCAACGACGACGACAACCGACGACCCATCCCTCTCACCTCGCCCTTCAACTCCCCGTACACCTTCACTTCGAGGTCACAAGTCGCCAAAATGGGTGGTGTCACCGTTCGCGATGTGGACGTAAGTTGTCACTTTACCTGTCCTTCTGCACCTGCACCTTTACCTGGCAACGGCATGGCATCTGGCATCAAGAGGCGGACGCAACGCAGTCGACCGGTACGATGAGCACGGACGGAGGAAATATACTGGATTCGCGGGCGACAAAATACTATGGGCGGAAACTTTGATGGCCGAATTCTTCGAGACGGATTTCGAATGTGGATTACGATTCGATCGGCGACTGCGACTGCGATGCGAATACAAACACTGAAATTGAATGGATGGAATATGCACAGAATCAAACGTTGCCAGGGGAGGAAGGGTCATACAGAAGGGCTGAATTGTCGACGGTCGAATCGTGCTGATATCTTCGTTACAGGCGCAAAAGTTCATTGTGGCTTACGCCGCTTTCCTGAAGCGTCAGGGAAAGCTCCCCATCCCTGGTTCGTCATCTTTTCTACGGCATATATCAGATTCGACATAGCTAATGCGACCGCGTAGGTTGGGTTGACACTGTCAAGACCTCCGCCTCCAACGAGCTCCCTCCCCAGGACGCCGACTGGTACTACGTCCGCGCTGCCGCCGTCGCCCGTCACATCTACCTCCGCAAGACCGTCGGTGTTGGCCGCCTCCGCAAGGTTCACGGCTCTACCAAGAACCGTGGCTCCCGCCCCGCCCACCACGTCGACGCCTCCGGTGCCGTCGACCGCAAGGTCCTCCAGTCCCTTGAGAAGATCGGTGTCCTCGAGCAGGACGAGGACAAGGGTGGCCGCCGCATCACACAGTCTGGTCAGCGTGATCTTGACCGTATCGCCAAGACCACCGTTGACGAGGAGGAGGAGGATGACGAGTAAATTAGTGTCGGATTCTAAACTAATGAAAAAGTCCTGACGTTTTACCTTCCTCCACTTCTTACTTCTCCACCTATATCCACGGGATGAACTCGACTTGAGGACCAGGTGAAACGGGGCTGGCTCTGGCACAAGGGACGGCGAACGGAGCGGGTTGATCGGATGAGAGGAATGGAATGAACTGAGTTCACATTTCTTATGTTTCATATTCCCATGTTCAATTGAGGCACTATACAGCCTACACCTACACAGTCCACAGTCCTGCGTCACTCTCAGTTGAGAATAGATCATGCGTAACGATACCCTGGCTCCTGCTCTATTTACAGTACTCGACATATCCAACATATTCTTAAGCCCGCCGCAACCGACATCTTCTAATTGACGGTCCCCAATCTATCGTACTCCATACCTACCAGACTTAGCCCCGCACCAGCCTTATCTATCCCATTCCCATCTATTTCTTCCCCGACTGAGCCGAGGGATCCTACATTCGTCCATTAGCACCTCCGCAGTCCGCACCTCCCCTCCATCCATACGTATCCACCCCAAGTAAAGAGGAAAGGGAGAAAACCCACCAAATAAACCTGATAGAACCTCATCCTCATCCCCTCACTAAAGTCAAACACCACCCGCCCGGCCCACTGCACCTCCGTCGGCTCCCCCTCGGGGTTATTCCTAAGCACATACTCCACCGTCCCGTAGAGCATGAGCTCGTCCTCGCCGCCAAAGAACACCTTCGTCGGCGTGTGCTTGCGCGATGCGACGTGTGTCCAGAGGCCGTGGCGGAGGGTGCGGATATCTGCGAGCATGTCAGTGTCAGTATACCTAAGTTCGAACCGAGGACTGGGTGCGAGTACCATCGGCGCCCTTGGCGGTCTTCGGGCCCATGATCAACGTCGCATCGGGCGTGAATGAGGCGACGTAGGCGTCGTGCTTGGACTCGGTGTCGCTGATGCCGTAGAAGGATTCCATGAAGGAGATCATGTCCGCGGCTTTTGCGGGTGAGAGGGTCGAGGAGGATGCTATGTTGTATGACATTTTGGCGGGTTGGTGTTGTTTCCGGTGCGGTGGGTTGATTATAATATTTGCTTAATGTTGTTTATTTGGTCTTTATGTACGTAGAGAGAAAATCAGTGTAGAAATGGTTGAGTGAAGCTGTGATGTCAAGTCAGATGTATGGAGACGTTTTCGGGCCGACATAGGGTCGCTATCCGATGAGATCGGATAAGGTGGGTTTCTTCCATTTTCAGCGGTTTAGGGCTTGGACGAGATACTTGATGGCATTGCTGGTTATTGTAGTTGGTTTAGACATAATATAACAAGAATCAAACCCTACGTAAGGCGGGTAAATCCATGGTCTCCTCGACGTGCGCCTGTATAGATCGAGATCGGATCGTGACCCAGCGTCTTGCTGTATATACCGTGACAAACACTCTGGGGTCAATGCTTACAGTTGCTGAGGCATATAAATGATCATTGATAGTTGACAAAAGTCAAAGAGCTGGTTTGCGTAATTGGCTGTGTTCGGAGAGAAGTACTCGATGGCGAACGGTCGAGACGAAGCTGAACGCAGAACCCTTGGATTGATTACCCTGCTTGTGACGAAACGCCATGCGCTATACGATTTGTGAATACTATAACAGCTGTTACACCACGCCCTGACGAGCCTGGTAATCTTATATATGCTTTTAGTAGTTCAGGCAACAGCGGGGTGGTGATACTTCGGGTGCAGGATGTCATAATCGGGACGGACGGTATGGCTTCAGCCAGCTGTTGGTTTAACTAGCAGTAGATCAACGTAGCATACTTGACGGATACTGTGCGCAAACAAGCCCTCCGAGCCTATGCTGAGCTGGATTGTCGGATTGAGGGCTAGGAATCAGTACCTCGGCGAGTCGGCATTGATATCAACCGAGCTCATATCTGCTAACATAGTCGGGTTAGAAATAATTTCTCCAACAACACCGCGGATGATGACCCCCGACGACTCGCAAGCAAGAACGGGGAGCGCGGAGCTCAATACTGCACAGTCTGCGTGAGGTCTATGTGTAAAAAAAACATGATAAGTATTTTGCTCGAGTCCAGGGCGTATACGGACCGGCCACTGCATTCAATGACGGCCTGCTCAACGGCTACCGACATAAACGCCGTTGAGTCCTCGGTGGCCTTCGCCGAGCAGGCACAGCTGCCATTGTGTAACAGGGGCGGAGATTATGAGTTGACTCAGATGCATCAGCAAGGCTGGTTCCCGTTAGACAGCTGTATAATCGAAGTGGAAGGTCCGTGCTATGATCCGGGCCCGAGAGAATGTGGTTCTCGCTCAGTGGGAGAAGTATTTGCTGCGATGGCCCTGTAAGGGTGAAGAGGAATGGACACCCACTTCTGCAGGGCCTCTCCAAATCGACGTTACCCCTCATCGTTTGTTGATCACACTGAACAGCAAAGCATAAGCCGGGATCAATTGGTCGATCTGCATGGCACGCAGGCGAGTGCCTGGGTTCGGCTGATCATCGCTCTAGACTTCTCCGGATCCGGAAGACCGGGGTGGTTGGAATCTCGAGAGCGTGCTTCGAGTCTTTCGGTAACGTTGCACTTCGTGCATATGTAAACCTCGAGTCTTATTCTAAACTGGCTATACGAATGCTGTCGATGCGTGCCCCGCCCCCACGCCCGCGGAGTGGAAGCGTTATCAATGCAGTGGTCATGCCTCCAAGTGTCCAAGGGCCCTGGCGCAACCCGAGGAGCAGATAAACGAGGCAAGGAACGCGAAAAGGCACCAATAAGCGAGAAAGCGTCATCGGAGGCTTGGGGTTATGCTAAGCAGGCCTGGATTGCCGCATCCGTTACCCCGCTGTACGCACAGAGACATGATTGTACTCCGCACACTGTAAGTAACTGTATGTACATCGAGTGCTGTGTGTTGAAATCGCGGGGCATGATTGGACATGGCCGAATTGGTTGACCGGTGGCTAGAGTTAGTCTTTTTCGACAGGGTAATTTGACTATTCGACAGGGCTTTCTGAAGCGGAACCCCAATTGGGAACGGGTGCTGACATAATCAACCCGTTGCCGCTTCCTAATCGGGTTTAGCTTGGCGGCAGAATACTCCGCGCGGACACGCAGCGCTTCGAATTCCGACTTCTTATACAAAATTCAGTATTTAAACTGCAGGCCAAACATGCGTAAGTTCTAACTATTAAACTGGCACTTATACTAACCAATAAATAAGAGGCCTAGAATTCAATTACACCTAGCATTAACTCCGGAACTCCCACCGGAACAATACCTCCCCCGCGGCCCCGGCCACGGCCACCACCTCAACCTCCGCGAATTTCTCCTTGCTCCGCTTGTACTAGCTCCGGTGGCTTTAGTTCTTTATTCTCGCTATTACTACTAATAATAATAACTTCCCAATCGGGCGCTGGCGTGAGGCTATTCGCAGTGGCCTGCTGTTGGTTCTTAATAAAAATCACCACTAATTACATAAGGAGTTAAGACGTGGCCGACTTGGCTCGGGAAACGGAAAAACTATCTATCCAGACCGCTTCCTAATCGGGGTTCCGCTTCAGAAAGCCCTGTCGAATAGTCAAATTACCCTGTCGAAAAAGACTGACTCCGGTGGCTACCACGTCAATTTGAAATCGGACGTGAGGCACCTGCACCGCTGCGAGTTCAGATTCGTTGAGAATAGTGTGTTCCAGGAGACTGCCGGAGCAGGATGGGGAGAAGAGGGGCCCACGTGAAGCGTTTGGCGGGAGGTTGTCGTCTACCAAGATTCATCCAGAGCACGGGCTCGCAGAATGGAGCCCACTGGACTCCTGATGGCCAAAGTCTCGGAAGCTCTTATTCTACCGACGGTCCACCAAGGGGGGCCCCACCCATCGGTCAGTATTTAATACGTTCCAGTTTGTATGGTAGTAATCATACAATTCAGAACTGTACGCTGGCCTTGCTATGTTGGCCTCCCCCACGCCCGACCTGGTGTTAAAACTTATAGTAAACTCGCTAAGTTACGCTGGTACATTATATTGTATGAGAGATCACATAGAAATCGATGTACCTGTAGAACTTATAAGGTTCTCAATGAGGAAGAGTCAGAAACGAATAATTACAGGGGCGGTCAGACCGGTCTCGGCCAATTAGAAAGCAGTATTCGCGCCGATTTGGCAGAATTTAGACTTTCCAAAGAACTGCCATAAACACCATATAATTCAAATATATATCTTGTTGTCGGATATCCAGTATTCACTAAAATAGTAAATAACTCCCGAACTTTATAGATTTAGACGCTTAAAAAACTTTTATAATATAACTTAACCTTGCCCTTTTAATATATCTACTTTATTTTAATTTTTATCGCGAATTCATGGCGCAAAATGCTTGCAAAGTTGGGAGTACGATCACAAAGGAAGCGGCACGTGAGGTTCGCGCGCTTCGTTTAAATGGAGCTATACTTTATATGGAAACCCCTATATAAACAAAAGCCACAACAAAACCAGGCACGTATTCCTCTACACATCCCTACCAGGTAAGCCCTCCGCCGTCACCAAGCCAAATTCTATGCTAATAGACCTCCGAATAGCTTCACGAATACAGGTACTTCAAATTGTATGCGATTCTCTATAGAAAACCAAGTACCAGCACGTCAACGGCCTCACCAACGCG